AGTGTGATGCAGAGGCACGACACGTGCGTGGCCCGGGCGGCGTGCGCAGGCAGCAGCCTGCCTGCTGGCATGGCTCAGCACCCCCGTCACTCGCCCCGCACTCATCCAGCTGCAGAGCTGAGCCCGGCTTGGCAAGGGGGACGGAGGAGCTGCCCGGGCCACCAGGTCCAGGAGACTGTGACCGCAGCTGGAGGATGAGCGGGGAAGCCCCCACTGACGTGGGGCTTCAACAGCAGGTGGGTGTCCCACGGGGGACGCTGGCCAAGCCCGCGCTGGGGGTCCCCGCAGTTGGAATGGGTTTGGGCTGCGCTGCTGAAATAATCCAGCGTGCAGAGCGTTGCCCTCCACTGGCTCATTCTGGTGGAGCCTTAGAGGGTCAGTGCAGCCCAAACCCTGATACAACTGGACGGCGTACAGGGAAATGGTTGCCAGTGCAGCTGTGTCAGTGTGCGCAGCGCTCCCAGGGCCCCCCCCCGGGGAGGTAAACCACTGTCGAAATGTGGGTTTAAAGCAACTCATTATCGCTTTAGGAAATGGAACAGTTTTTCTGTTTTAAAAATTTCCCACTGGTTGTTCTAAGGACAAAGGCAAGCAAACTGCTTTAAAGCACAGAGCCATTTTAGGGCTGCTTGACATGAGATGTTTTCAGTTAAAAAAAAAAAAAAAAAAAAAAAAAAAGGAAACATTGTCATAAGTAAAATAGGCTGTTCTAGGGAGTGTGTTAGAGCCCATCCTGCAGCAGATGGGCCCCCTGCCAAGCACAGCCTGCTGCTCCCCGCTGCTTCATCGGGGGAGCTGCCGTGTCCCCAAGCAGTCCCGCTCGCTCGGCTGACAGAGTCTTTCAGAAAAGGTCCCGCTGCGTTTGTTATCACAAAGGTCCAGGAAGGGCACCCGGCAGCCTGCCCGGAACAGGGGCTATTTGCTAACTGGGCCAGGAGGGTTAGGGCCGGGGGCTGCAGAGACCTACAGAAAAATGTACCTGGCAGCATGAAGTGAGGCTCTGCAGCCCTTCTAGACCTCCCAGCAAGTCCTCCTCCCTGCTGAAAAGTGTTGCTTTTTCTAAATTGAACTGTTATTGTGGTTATTAAGTGGGTTTCTGCTCCAGAGCAAGACCATTGCCAAGGACAGAACACTTGGCCCGAGCGTTTCTCCCTTCCCTTTGGAGTCTGGGCTGCCCTGAGCCCCCCGAGCCCCCCATCTCCGCCGGGCTGGAGAGCTGGGGCGGCTCTCGCCCGGGTCAGGGGAGCACGGCTTTGCCTGGAGGGAGCTGCGCATCCCCCGTCCCTTTGGGCTGCCCGAGCCCTGGCTCTGCCCGCACAGCGGGTTTGGCAGCTTGGACTTTGCTCTCCTGCGGTCACAGCAGAGATGGAGACACACGAGTGCCAGCCACTGCCCTGAGGACAGCCGGGAGAGCCCGACAGTGCCCTGCTCGTGGTCCCCAGCCCCTGCTCGGCTGGCACAGAGTGTCCTGGCCTCGGCTAGAGGTGATGCTGTGGGGCAGGGATGGGGTAGCCCTGCCAGCACCAGCGGCAGAGAGCTTGCAGCCTCCCATCTGAGGTGCTGGGAACGGGGCAATGCCAGAAGCAGCGAAGAGGGGAAAAAAGTCTTTTTTTTGCATGACCACCTTCATGAGATTTCATAGGTGTGTCTCTTCTACCTCTGTTTCTCTCTGTGTAGAAACAAGTCACCTCAAGACACCCCTTGCCAACGTAAGCGTCAGGCCTGGTTTACCAGGCTCTTTGCTCGCCCACCCTAGAGCCCTTCCATGCCTGCAACCACCATGTCTCCCATGCCTGGTCTTCTTCCTCTTCTTCCTTCATTCCCCCCATGCTGGGGGATGATGAACGACCATCAGAGCCGATGGGGCAGCGATCGGTGTGGCATGGCACGGGCAGCTCTGTGACCTGGTTAAGAGGCAAATGAGCCCTGGAGCCCTTGTTTGTATGTGTGTGTCTGTGCGCGATCACAAGGGCTTCCCTAAAGACAGACCATAGTGACACTGGCAGCTTTACCTGGAGACCTTGTGCTCTGAATTCAGAGCCAGGGCAGCGAGTTGACCAATTCTACAGTTCTTAGTATCAGAAACTGTCCTTGCCAGACATTTACTGGTTGTGTCTTACCCAGGCATGCTCGGCTTTTGGCAAGCATCTGAGTAAAGAGGCAAGAAGGAAGATGTTGGCTGAACCCGTCCTGGACTTGCACACCGTAATTACCTCCTTCTTCCTCATGGTAACGGGACTTTCTTTGGAGAGCTCGGTGCCGGTCAGTTGGAGAGCAGAGGCTTCTCCAAGGGCTGCTCTGCCGCACTCCAGGCAGGCAGCTCAGCACGAGTGCCGGCACCGTGCCGGCAAGGCGGCAGTCACCAGCTCTGCCAGACTGCACGGCTCATGCGCCGTTAGAAACGGTCAGGGGTATCAGCAATTTCGATGCAACTTGTAGGTCACGGTGAACATCGTGGTGGACGGATGCACAATGTGCAGCAGAAAAGGCTGGAGCGTAACAGAGCAAAACTAGTTCAGCTGAAGCGAATTTGCCCTTTTGGCCAGCCCCAATCCTCTGCAGACACTCGGACTAATTTCCTTGCTGTTCTCACACGGGGAAATGTTGTGCAAGCCACACAAGGCTGGAGCCCATTAAGAGGCCAGAGGCCAGCGTAAGACCAGGGGATGCGTAGCCACGGGAAGGACGGGGTCCGTCACCCCATGACGTATTGGACAGGCGGCTCCTGAATGTCCCGGGGGGACGCTGGCGGCCAAGTAAAAGTTTGGCAGGGGGACACTGGATCTAAAAGATATCTGGCGGGTATCTGAGATGGCACTGCAGCCCGTGAACGGCGGTGGATTTTTCAGTCTCGATTAAGGGTGAATTTTGAATAGAACACATTCATTTTTAACTGTGACTAAAATAGAGGGATGGGGCCAGATTCTCTGCAGATGACTAAACATGACAGTACTCACATGGGCAAGGGTTTTTTGCACTGCTAAGTACCTTGTACTTTCAGCGTGCGCGGTATTGGTACGTGTCCTGCTGCTGTGCAATTATACACTAGACACTGCAGCTATTTATGGACTGATGAGGTATTATTTTTTTTCCCAAGCTCTTTGGTTTGACTCACAGTGAACAAAATCTTGACCCTGTGCAGTATTCACATCTGTGCTTTGCATTAAAAAAGCGGGCTGATAAGCAGTCTTTTTTATCACTTGGAGAGCGGAGGTCAATTTCATAACGAAGTTCCAGCAGAATGGATTTACAACTGCTCATAAAGATACTGAAAACAACAACAAAAGGAGGAGGACACTGGCCTTTATTAGCTTCTTGCTTTGAGAAATACATTAATCAAATGAAATTCAATTTAAAAGACCCAGAGGCATATATGAAACGATTAGTCAATTGACGTGTAAATGAATTAACAGTTCAGACGTGATTAATAGCCAAATCTGACTGTGAAAAACAGCCTATGAATAACCCGACACACAGCCTCGTCCACTGAAAAATGACCCACTTACTCCTGGCATCTTCAATAGCTGATATGCGTCACACCGGATAACATTTTTCACGCACATAACTGAAACAAAAGCCCAATACACGCAGTGTTCCAACAAACGAGATTCTGCCTTTATTGTACTTAGAACAACAACAGGTTTTAAGATTACAAAAAGAGCTGAACACCAAGCGTGAAGGTCTGCCCCGTAGCACAGCACAGGCCGAGTGCTTGCATGGGACCCAAGCATGGACTAAAACTGTCAAAAAGTGAGTATTTTCATTTCCCCTA